AAATAAACTACCTTAAATCTTTAAGCGAGATTATTTTTATAGTAATATAGATGTTCACAATGATGTGCAGGATTATAGGTAAACTAACAAAGCTGTTTTCCCAGTTAACCTAATGATAATATGTGTAACAAATACCACACAATGACAAGGTTCTTGTACCGTGTTGTTCGGACTATAAGGCGCATTAAACAAAACAAAACCTAAATTAAACTTGATTCAACTCATTCACAATAACCAAATCAGTTCGAGGTCAGAAAGCACAACCAGAATTAATACACCTGATTAAAAGGCTCACTGTCAAGTTTTGATCAAATTAAAGGATTTTGAGTGCGCCTTATAGTCTGAAACATACGGTACTTTTTGAAACACTTGGTGCACATTTTCCCTCTCCCTGTCAGAAACTGGTTTTAACCTCCAACCCAGTGAGCAGGTTTACCTCTGATGTTCGGAGACTCTCAGGTTCTCGGTCACTTTCAGTTGGATTGGGAAGGTGCCCACGTGAGGTCTTAGTCCCCCAACCAGCAGTGAAGAGGTTGAATCCACGTGATCCAGCTCGATGTGTAGCTCTGAACGAGGAAGATTTCACCTCCACTGCTGCTGGAGCTGAGTTTATTCCAGTTAGCTCTTACAGGTCCAGAAAGTTCATCTTAAAAGGAGAGCAGCCCATTTGTACCCTCCTCTCCTTAAAGTGATGTCCTGCAGTGGTCCAACACAGCTCCTTGGAAGTCATTGAGATGTCTTTTTCCTTTGACCCTGCCAGGATGCTTCAGCTTCTGAATCCCATTCAGTGCTGGTTGTTTTACCTCCAGCTTGTTTCTGAACATCCTCCTCTACAGGGTAATGGTGGACTGAAGCTTCATGTGTATTGCTCCTGTTTTGCTGTTATTTTGTGTGTTTCTTCTTGTTCTAATGGCCAACAGCTTTAATAAAAGTTTCAAGAGGACGGTTTGAACAAAGCATGTCCTCCGTCTGAAAGTCAGTCAGTTGAGTGTGAGGATGATCTGAACTAGTGGGACACATCGACTCTTTGGACCACGTCCTCCTATTGCACGTAGGCCTACAGTCCCAAGAAGGACACATCTAAAAGTGTTTATTTCCTCGTGATTTTTGTTCACGCAGACCAGAAATATTCAATCTCATTCACAATCTACTTTGTTCCCCACAAAAAAAAAAATTTTTTTAATCACAAATTGTTTAGTAAAATTGCACATTGTTGTTTTTCAGTCGCAGCACGGTGGCGCAACTGGTAGAGCTGCTGCCTCTCAGCGAGCAGGTCCCTGGTTCAAACCCCGGTCCAGGGGCCTTTCTGGGTGGAGTTTGCATGTTCTCTCCGTGCATGCGTGGGTTTTCTCCGGGTACTCCGGTTTCCTCCCACAGTCCAAAAACATGCATGTTAGGCTGATTGGTAACTCTAAATTGTCCCTAGGTGTGAGTGAGAGAGTGAATGTTTGTTTGTCTCGTTTGTCTCTATGTGGCCCTGTGATGGACTTGCGACCTGTCCAGGGTGTACCCCGCCCCTCGCACAGTGATTGCTGGACATGGGCACCAGCGACCCCCGTGACCCAAAATGGAATAAGCGGGCAAAGAAAATGGATGGATGGATGGATGTTTTTCAGTCAGATTATCTACATAAATGGGATTGTAATTCCACATACTCAGGGACATGCTGCTCTCAGTAGTATAAATATGTGCTTCTGAATGGATGAACTTAGTGTTGGACTAGTTTGAGCTGGACGACCGTCTGCTGCTTGTTAAACTAGATGTTTTAAGTTGGAAAAGTTCTTGTTCTTGATATAAATCTGAGTCTTATTGCACTTTTGTTGTTCCAGCGCCCTCTGCTGGTCAGAGGAGGTCATTGTTCTCTGGAATATTGCTGCAGCCAGTCCAGCTAAGATCCTTGGCCCACTGACCCACTCTGGTGACCCGAACCTTCACGGGGTCAAACCTCCAGAACTGCTGATCTCTGAACAAGTAGAGGCGTCCGTCTTTATGGGTCAGCGCCCCGTTGGACCCCTGTGGAACACCCTTCCAGTCCGTCAGTCTGCGGGGGTAGTAGGGTTCTTGACGCAGTGTTTTGAGGTTGAGCACGTGGTAGCGTGCACCCTTGAAGAGCACCATGTGACCCAGAGGGGCGTAATAAAAAGCACAGTCAGGGTGACGAGGAAACTCGCTGCTTTTTATGGGGAAACCCGGGTCCAAGACCCCGTCTGTGTAACGCCACATCCGCTTCCCTGAAAAACACAAAGCAAAAGAAGGATAACTTCTTTAATTATCATTATACTCGTTTTTTTTAAGCCCCTTTAAATGTAAAACTATGGAAAAACAGTGTAACTAATCAGAAGTTTACAGAAGACTGGAGGCGGCGAGGCCGTTTAATGGAAATGACATGACCTACATATGAGCAGGGCATTTATGGCAGCAGTACTTCCTATAAAATAGTTCTTGCCTGATGAGTGAATACTGAATAAACTGTCAGGATTTTGGCCCCGAGGAAGAAATCTGGAAACTCAAAACAATTTAACAACCTTTAGCACAAAGGTGACGCTAATTAAAATCCAGCTGAAGCCTCGGTGCAGCGTGTTCTTTTAAAAACCACTTTGCTTCTGAAAAAGGGCCCACGAGCATCTATTTTAGGCTCCGACACGCGCAGCTATCCAGAGGGTTGAGAAGAGTCTTTAAAAGGAAGAGTCTAATTAACGAGATCAGTGGAGCAGTACCTTTGAAAAAATACAACTTGGAGTCCAGCGGGGAGAAGGCAGCAGCCTCGATGGCGTGAGGGAGGTCAGACCAGCGCTGACGGAGGGCCAGAGGGCCGCTCACGCTGCCCAACGCCGACACCGTCCAGAACACGCTGCCACGGAACACCAGGACGGTCTTCGTTTCATCTGGACACACGACGAACAGCAGTCAAGAACAAATTAAAAGATGGCCCCGCTCATGCAGCTGGATGCGCTGGCAGTATTTACCCAGCGTGATGGCATCAAACACCCCCTGGCAGTACGGAGGCAGACCTGGGGCCCGGAGCTCTGTGGACTCCCACTCCTGCAGCGCAGCGTTCAGAACTTGACCTGGCAGCCTCACCAGGCGGTTCCCCAACGGTTTACCTGAATAATCCAAACAACAACACGGTCAGCCTGAAGGACGTGGAAGAGGACATTAAAAGCTCGTTTGGAGCGGTTCAAGATTCCCACGAAGCTCTGAAGGCTTCATTTCCCAAAGTGTTCTCCACTAGACATTACGGGAACAAACAGATTTAACAGGACAGTTCATCTTAAACAAGACTTGGACAATGTTAACATTTAAATTGTCCTTTTCCAGGATGTGGCGGGTTCATGTATACTGATGGATAGCGGAAATAAACACAAGGCTTTAGATGGAGCGCACACTCAAACCCCGGACAGACTGGCTTCCATTTAGTCTCGTCTTCACACAGCGAGCACGTCTGCAAACCGAAGAACCACAGGAAGAGCAGAACTAAACTGAAGGCTAAACGTGAACATCACTTTAGACGTGAGTTGCCGATGAAGCTCAACAAACATTTGTGTTGGAGGAGGATAAAATCAGCTGCAGGAACGTTGGATACACAGCACAGAGGATAAGAGCGTGAAGATAAGAACCGGAGGTCTGACTCCACTAAACCTCCCTGCTTGTGCCGCAGGAACGTCTCACGCTTTCATGAGATGATGAAATACAGACACACTGAGAGGAATCAGAATTTAACATTACGGTTTAAACATGTCTCTTGATTTTGTTTGTCTTAATGCACCAAATGACAATACATACAAAATATGAAGAAACAGCAGAAGCTTTGCGTGGTAAAAACAACGAGGATATCTGGATCGTACAGCTGTATACACTGTTTTGATCACAAATGTTTATTTTATAGAGGTCTAATCCAACTTCTACTAATTCATCTGTCACATCACAAATGCTGGGTTTTAAACTGTGTTGATATAAAAAATACATCGCACATACGAGTAAAAACACTGACTTGTGGGCCACACAAAGAGCAAGTGTGTCGTACTTTAGAGGCATGTGAGTCATGCAGCTGTGTGACCCCAAGTCTGGCTGAGCTCCTGATTGGTCCAGGTGCACAGGTCCAGGTGCACAGGTCCAGGTGCACAGGTCCAGGTGCACAGGTCCTAGTGCACAGGTCCTAGTGCACAGGTCCAGGTGCACAGGTCCAGGTGCACAGGTCTAGGTGCACAGGTCCAGGTGCACAGGTCCAGGTTTTCGACATTTTCCATGTCAAGTCAACTTCATTTATGAAGCACATTTAAAACAAGCTAATGCCAACGTGTTTAACAATAAAAATCATTGAGAGTAGTCTAATGGAATAAAAAATAATAATAATGATCGAACCGAAAATTATTTTTTTAAATCAAAGAATAACATAGAAATACAGAACAATGAAATACTAAATCAAATCACACTGTGTTCAATGTCAGTGAAACCAGGTGTGTTTTTAGGAGAGATTTAAAAGCAGGAAGTGAAGTGGTCTGTCTAATGTTGGGGGGGCAGATTGTTCCAGAGTTTGAGGTCCATGACTGAAAAAGTCTGATCTCCTCTGATCTTCAACCTGGTTTTTGGAACAACCAAAAGCAGCTGATCAGATGATCTCAGCGCCCAAGAAGGAACATAAGGTTGAAGTAGGTCAGAGAGATATGAGGGTGCAAGGCCATTTATTCACTTAAAGATCAACAGGAGAATTTTTAAATCAATTCTGATATGTACAGGGAGCCAGAGAAGAGAGGACAAAACTAGTGAAATATGATCAAACCTATAAGTTCCAGTTAAGAGCCGAGTTACAGCATTTTGGACAAGATGGAGATGTGAAATGGAGACCTGGCTGATCCCAACATAGAGCGTGTTACAGCAGTCCAGCCAGGTTGTAACGAATGCATGGACTATTTTTTTCCAAGGTCAGATCAGGTCAACACCGACTTAAGGGTTTGCCTTAACTGGAAGAAACTTTTCTGCAGAACAGAGTCTGTTCATTAAACTTAAAGTCAGAGTCTAGAACCATCCTGAGAGTTCCCCATTCAGTGCGGTTTCTACAACAGGTAAGATGTTAATTCTTCAGTTTTTCCACGGAAGCTCACATTTAAACAACTGCAAAGGTTCAAAAGGTTTTTCATTTCCAGTTCAGTCCATCGTGTCGTACCACAACAAGGTGTCTGCATGAGCGTTTCAGTATTTCTGCAGCGTGGATGGAAACGACTGTATTTTTCGCCCTATAGTCGCGTTTTTTTGCATAATTTGCATGCCGTATGACATATATGCTGAAGCCACGTATTTATGGATTTTTTCCCCCCATATTTATAAACCACTGTGATGGACTTGCGACCCGTCCAGGGTGTACCCCGCCCCTCGCACAGTGATTACTGGACATGGGCACCTGCGACCCCCGTGACCCAAAATGGAAGAAGTGGGTAAAAGATAATGGATGGATGTTAAACTGAGACACACCTTTACTATAATTTCAAACAAACAAATAATTGTTTTTATGTGTTAATCTTTTTAAATTCTTGTTTAAAACCTCCCGTGCACGCTCCTGTTGCCGCCATTTGGCAGCCAATCGATTTTTGGCACAACACCGGCCCACATTTCCGGGCTGTCAGCGGTGACGTGCAACAAACGTGACACATCAGCGGTGACGCATAATAGAAGCAACTTATTTATGTTTTTTCCCACTTTATTAGACATATTTGGACAGATGCAACTTAAAGGGTGGTGCGACGTGTACGGTGGAAAATACGGTAGTTGTGGCTGCACTTAGGAGTGTTCTTTAACAGAATAGTTTTAAAGCTGATGTCCCAGTGATTTTAGCATTTTGCAGCTTCTTCACACATTTGTTAAACATCCATTACTGGCATCAGATTGTAAATAATCACTTTTCCCCAAAATTGTTGTGGTTTAAAATATTCTTTGATTCATCTTCCACGTAGTGTTCGGTGTGTGAACACTCCCTTCTCTGTCCTGAACTCCAGGTTAAAAACATCGCTGGGCTCCATGTGAGAGTATCAGCAGCTCAGACGACTGACTCGGTCTGTTTCTCCTCAGGTGGCAGAGGAGCAGCGTTCCTCATCAACAGTGATGGTTCTCAGACACGCAAACACCTCTGGCTGAAGATTATTCGTCTTTACAACAGACAGGAGTGTTTTCACAGCCTCAGCAGTCCTGTCTGTGTCTGTGTGAGGAGCTGTTTGACATTCATGTGGGAGCAGCTGCAGAAATTACTGCCACAGGCTGAACACCATGATAGGAGAGCAGGAGGAAAACCAGCTGCACTTTGAGCAACACAACAACAAAAAATGTGGAGCAATGTGGATAACAAACTAACTGGGCTTTCCTGAAAGCAGAGAAGAAACCCAAACAGGACTCCAGTCAGCCATCAGGTGAAAAAGAGGAACCCAGACCCTGACCAGTTGTCATTCCATATGTTGAGGGAGTATCAGAGAAACTGAGACGTTTATTTTCTAAACATAACGTCCCAGTGGCTTTTAAACCCCAAAATACATTACGGCAAAAACTGGTTCATCCCAAAGATCCAGTCCCCCGGCACAAACAGAGTAATGTTGTGTATGCTGTTCAGTGTCAGGAGGGTGATCAGTCTTACATCGGGGAAACAAAACAGCCACTGGCCAAAAGGATGGACCAGCACACAAGATCAACACCAGAACGCCAGGACTCTGCGGTCTACACTCATCTCCAGGCCAGCGGTCACTCTTTCAGGGATGAAGATGTTCACATCCTGGACAGAGAGGAATGATGGTTTGAGAGAGGAGTAAAGGAGGCCATCTTTGTGAAAAGAAATCGTCCATCATTAAACAGGGGTGGAGGCCTCCGGGTTCAACTGTCCCCCTCTTACAATGCTGTGATTGCTAGTATCACTCAGCCCTCTGTGAACAGTAAACAGCCATCAGTGTGCTAATGATCCATTGTTAGGCTGATGGTCCTTCTTGAGCATGTGATCAGCTGGTTTTGGTTGTCAGCAGCAAAACTGGTTGATCCACTCTGAGAAGGTGCTATTTAAGAGACTGAGCTGAATACAGCACCTCAGACTGAGGAAGTCTTCTGGATGAGAGACGAAACGTTTCTACAAGAAGAATTCATCCAGACGACCTGACTTAACCATGTCAGATTAAAAACTTGTCTTCCTCCTCCAGGTGTGAATAAAACAAACAAAAATCTGAATTCCTAAAAAAAAAAAAAAAACCCTGCTGTTCATGACACGGACATGAATTAAAAAAAAGTCTACACAGAAAACATTCTGTTGGAAGAATAAATGTTTGTATAATTTTTAGGTAAAGCAACAGAATGTGTCATAAATGTTAACTAATGCATTTAAAAGTGTTTAAAATAAATTTAGAGCAGAAAGTTATGAATGGCCCAAATATCCGCTGAGAAATTCAGAAATCTGAGTTGGGACTTGTGAAAATTTTATTTCGATATGATAAAAACAAAAGAACCAGTCCAATTACTAAATATATAGATAAGATAGACATAGTTAAGATAGATGTAGAGAATTATATAGACATTCATTTCAATATCATGTCAAGAGAATAATTACAGAGAGTAACCGAGCTGAGAATAAAAAAGGCAGCACTGTGGTCGGTGTGCCCCCCCCCCCCCCCCTTCTTTTATCTTATTAATGTAGAGTGAATCTGATAAAAGCTGCTCAAAGAAGCTGAGGACAGAACGTGTCCAGAGGCAGAGCAGATGGGACGGCTCACATAGAGGGAGGCCTCCAGACGTGGTCTGTCTGCGAGCTGCAGCTGAGATTATTGCAGCTGAGATTGAGCTGGATTATCCAGATGTGTGCGAGGCCGTCCTGCAGCCACGGAGACATTCCTGCCAAGTGTCGAGTGTTTTCAGCGTCTTGAGGTTAAAGAGCCAAAGAGACAAACAACCATTCACTCTCACTCACACCTAGGGACAATTTAGAGTTACCAATCAGCCTAACATGCATGTTTTTGGTCTGTGGGAGGAAACCGGAGCACCTGGAGAAAACCCACGCATGCACGGAGAGAACATGCAAACTCCACCCAGAAAGGCCCCGTGCCTGGATTTTGAACCGGCGACCTTCTCGCTGAGAGGCAGCAGCTCTTCCAACTGAGCCACACGAACTGTGAGATGCAAAAATAAAATATTCTGCTCTCCTTCTTTGGGAAAATTGTCACAATCCAAGGATTCTATACAAAACTATTGAGTGAGCTTTGTGTCCCTCATCTGTCCATCTCTCTGTGAAGACGTCCTCCTCTTCTTATTAATAAACTTGTCTCTCTTTGGGCCTCGACTTGTGGTTCCACCTGCTGCTGCCTTTGAGAAATTTGTGGCAGCAACTTTATCTTGGCTGCAGAAGATTGTTGGTCAGTTAAATCCTTCAGGTTCTCCCACTTACCCTGTCCCTCCTGGACTTTTGAAAGAGGACTTTTCCTCTGTGGAAAAGCTGTCTTCAGCTGTCTTCTCATATGATCCCTGATCATAAAAAAAAAAAAAAAAGATATGGTGCCATTAAAAAATGGACCCTCTTGTGCAATTTTAGACCAATTGTTAAATTTTAGTTTGTTTCAAAAATCCTTGTGAAAATAGTCTACAGTCAATTAATAGATTTTTGTTTTTGCGACAACATTCTTGGGGTTCTTCAGAGAAAGTCTGCTCTTTTAAGAAAAGTGAATATTTGTAGCTTCTGATGATTGTGGGACGTTTGATACAGTGGATCAGTGGCAGAATTAGGGGCGTGGCACTAGTGTGGTTCGGGTCCTATCTGGCAGGTCCAACTTTCTCTGTCAGCCTCGGTGGTTTTAGATGTTCTTCTGCCCCCATTGTGTGTGGAGTTCCTCAGGGTTCAATTTTTGGTCCTCTTTTAATTTCCCTGTATTTGCTCCCACTTGGCTCCAGTTTCACCTGCTATGCTAACAACAGCCAGATTTATCCTCCTTTAAATAAAAAGGATATCCTGTCTGCCAGACCTGGCTTGGATGTGTCCTAGTTTTCTGAATATCGTTGAGAAGAAAACTGAAGTGATGGTTTCAGGTAACGCTACCGTCTCTGCCTCTTTACATTTTGATTTCCTTGTGCAGTGTATCAAACCAACTTTCACAAATTTCCTGAAGCCAGTCTTAAGTACGACAGATAAAGTTTGTTGTTAAATCTAATTTATTTAATTTGACACAGGTGGCCAAGATAAGGTTTTACTATCTGTATCAATATTTTATATTTGCAAATCTGTCGTTACCCATTTAAAGATGGTGCAAAACATAGAAGCATGTCCTTTAACTGCCAATGCATTTTAAAATATTTGTTTTTAACCCTTTAAATGGTCTTGTCCGTCCTTATCTTTCTAAGCTGGGATGTCCTTACGTACCTGCCCGTTCTCTCTGATGATCAGCTGCTCCTGACTGGACCAGTACACAAGTGTAAAGTTAGACAGGACTGGGCTTTTGGGGTGATGGAGCCAAAATTCTGGAACAACTTACACAATTATTTGACTTAGCTGCTTTTAAATCTTCACTTGATATTATTTTTCATTCTTTGGCTTTTATTATCTATGAGACGTTGATTTTTATGGTTATATTGTTGTTTTCATTATTTTCATTTCATTTGTTCATTTTCATTCTTTATTTCTAGTGTTACTGAATTACATTTATTTAATTGTGTTGCACTGTTCAGCACTTTGTCCCACGGAGAAGTTTTAAAGTGTTTAATGAATCAAACTGAAGAGAAATGAGATTCTTGATCCCCGGAGGTGCACAGAGGTGGTGCTGGACCTCTTGCCGACTTGAAGCTGTTACAGTGAAATCGGTTTTCTGCGCACATGGAAAAGAAACAGCAAGGCGTAACGGTGCATGTGGAAACCTGCCTTGCACATGCCAGGAGGAGCAGCCCCTCACAGCAAATGCAAACTGTTACACACACAGTGGAGAAGCAGGGACGAAAAGAGGTCCTGAATCAGCCTCAAATCAGCTAAAAATACTCGCTAAAGTACTGGTGCAAAAGGGTTCTTTCTGTGGCGGGCTGCCCAGAATTGTGGCTTATTAAGGGCAGTGCAAAAGGTAAATGAAACGCTGCCACACCAGTTCTGACAGGTGAGCAGCACTGGGGACTGAAGACAGAGACAGGAGTCTGAGAGTCAACGCTCACCTTCTGCTGCTGCACAAAGAAAAACTCAGACAGGATGTTGTTCTTTAGATTAGAGGCTGTTCTCATGTTTGTCAGGAAAACAAAAATTGAGACTCTGTTCTGTAAGTCACGCCTTACACGGATGGTCCTGGATCCAGTTACCACATCACGTGACCTGGTGAAGTGTAAACAGCTTCTGTTACAGGGGGGTCTTCTCACCGTACAGCTGCTGCACGGCGAGGATGTCGTCCCAGCTCAGAACCAGGCTGCGGCCCAGCTTCCTGTAGTACGGGGACATGAGAGCGTGGCGCACCGGCGAGTGCTCCAGCCCCAGAGTGTGTCCGATCTCGTGGGCCGTTACCATGAACAGGTTGTGTCCTTTGTGTCCGTTCAGCGTCCACCGCTCTGCCATGTCGAAGTGGGCTTCGCCCCGCCGGGGCAGGAAGGCGTGGGCCAGGGTTCCTCCTGGACATCAAACATGGAGAAGCGTTTACGTTAGACTCATTCTGGTGTGTCTTACAGACAAGTTTTATATTTACAAATCTTTGAGTTGTTGCTTAGTTATAAACCTGAACCCACTGACTGCTGCAGTTTTCGCTTTATTTCAACTAACACTTCTCAAAACTAGAGAGATTCCTGTGAAAATGCAGTTTGAATGCTTATTGCAGAAGATCTTGCTGAAAAACATGCTGAAATGTAGCGGAAATGGAAGAACAAGCCTAAATTAGCTGAAGAAAGCAGACAAAACACATATTTGCTGATTTAGGTTTAAATAAGCAGAAATTAGCTCAAAAATTATGAAATTAGCTAAAAAAAAAAAAAAAAGGGCAGAAATTTGCAACAACAAAAAAAAACGCCCTGAGAAGTAGCTGAAAAGGCAGAAAAAAGCTTAAACAACTAGAAAGAAGTGGAAAGAGCTGAAATGAGCTGAAAAAAATGTGGACTTAGCTGAAAATGCTAAATTAAACACAACAACAGCTAAATAGTAGCTGAAATAGTAGAAAATTCCCAAAACTAGCAGAAATAAGCTGAAAGGAGCAAAACTAGCTGAAATTAGCAGAAAGAAGTCAATTGGGCTGAAAGTAGCAGAAATTACCATGAAAAACTTGAATTTATCTGGAAACAGTTGAAATTAGCTAAAACATGCTGAAAAATTAGAATAAGCTTAAATTAGCAGAAGAAAGCAGAAATAACATGTTTGTCCAATTAGGCTGAAAGAAGCAGAAATTAGCACAAAAAAATGGAAATTATCAGAAAAAAGCTGAAATTAGCAACAACAACAAAACAACTGCTGAAATGTAGCAAAAATAAGCAGAAAGAAGCTGAAATTAACAAAAGGAAGTGGAGAGAGCACATTATTTTCTGGATTATGCTGAAAAAAGTTTGAGTGCAAAACATGTGGAATTAGTTCAAAAAACTCAAATTTGCATAAAATAGCTAAATAGTAGCTGAAATAGCAGAAAAAGCTGAAACTAGGAGAAATAAGCTGAAAGGAGCATAAAAAGCTGAAATTAACAGAAACAAGTAGAAGTACAGAAATGTTATAGTTAGCAGAACAAAGCTGAAAGCAAAAAATAGCTGAAAAAAACAGCTGAAATTAGATGAAAGCAACCGATTTTTTTTTTTGATTTTTTTTGCACAAGGAAGCTAAAAGAAGCTGAAGCAGAACAAAATGTAAAAGGTTATAAACAGATCTAAAGATCTGAAGGATGTAAAATAAGTTTAATTCATTTTCGATGAGGAAAAAGTGGTAGAAAAGGCTAAATATTTCAAAAAGCTAAAGTTGCACCAATACCAAAAGTCCAAGCAGGATTGTCCTGAAAGAGCTGAACGTTTTATATAATTTATTGAAATATCTTCAAAAGTGCAGGACGAGAATCGCACCAAAATACGTACGGAAGAAAAATGTCTCACAGTGTGCATGCTTCATAAACATTCACACTATTAGATTAAAATGTCTGTTCGGTTGTTGTATTTTTTTATGCTGCTATTACTTTGAGTTCTGTTGTTGTTTGTTTACATTTTGTTGTTTTCTCGTGTGCATGCAGTCTCTAAATTGTTGTAATTTTTAACCGCTCGTCTGTTTTGATTTTTGAAATCACCCAAATTTAAATAAATACCCCAACCAGGCGTGTTTTGGTTCTGAATTTTGGCATTAAAGTTTTGTTTTGAACATAATCTAAAGGAGAAACCAGACTAATTAATCAAACGCCTATTCATAGAGGGAGTACATGCTGCCTGCCACCTTTCATCCTCGGGTTTAAACCAACATCATCAAATGTGGACAAGTTAGTCAAACCTAGAAAATATCGTTATGCATGATCCCACATGTTGTAGTGATGTTAGTGCTCAATGCAAGTGTTGAGGATGGCTCTCAGCTACTACCACGCCAAATTTTAGCTCTGTTAAACAGAGTTTTACATATTTTGGGTCTGCCCAGTTCAACCAGCTGCAGCAACCATTTTGACTCCAAAGGTTACTCAGCTGTAGCTGTACACCCACTGTCTGTTTACTGGTTCACCAGATATTTTGCTAACAGACAGACAAGGTCGACTAACAGTTATTGCAAAAGTTTTAAGCAAAGATTTCAAATAATTGGAAGAACTCGGAGTACACGTTGAGGATGATTTTCAGGATTAGCTCAATATTTTTAAACTTTGAGCTAGAATAGTTTTTGTCTTCCAAAGTCACCTTCTGGAAGTTTCATTAAAGCTGGTTTATGAGATATTTTGCTAACAGAGTCGACTCCAATAATCAGTGGGAGTGTTCTAACGAGGTGCACGATCTGTTAATGTGTGTTTTGGGGTGACTCTCATCTACTACCACACCAAATTCAAGTTGTCCAGTGGATTATGAGATATTTTGCTGACACATACATTTTTTATGCACTCGCTCTCGTGCAAGACGGAGACATTTTCTCTCCCTCTCCTGCTCTCCTCCTGCTTTTTTGCTCTCTGTCTGTGTATTGGAGTTCCTATTGCACATCTTCCGTAACTAGAACTACTGTCATGGATCTGGTCAGTTGGACTTTCAACGCAATCAACAAAATCTTTTCAACAAAGAGATAGGGTCCTGGAGAGCCCTCATGCCCCGCTGAGACTCACGCTGCAGGATACATCATGGATCCGTGGGAAGTTTGGGAGCTGATGTGTCTTTCTGTTTTGTCTCAGGAGAACACCGAAGATGTTTATATAATTGGATTCATGATAGCAGGGTTTCTGCTCATGGCAAAACTAACGAGTCTGCTTGAAGGTTTGGTTCATGTTTCGAGAACTCAAAATCAGCTGGTTTGCGAGCTAAACCGTAAGATGGAGGTGATTTGTGAGAATCGCAGGCCACCTGCGGCTTCTGGGATTTGCCAGCATGTTGGAGACGACCTTGAAGGAGTCTCGTAAGCACGGACCAATGAAGTGCCCACAAATCTGGCCATTTTGAATTGGAAGTACCAGCAGGACTCAAGGCTGACAAGAAAAAACAGTCTGCCTGAAAAAAAAATCAACAGTTGTGGCTTATCTGAACCAGACTCCTCATGTTGTCCTTGAAAGCAGGCTGACATGTCAAATTTCTCCTGGGATATGTGTAAAGTAAGGAAACGCTTCATCTATCGCAACCCCTTTCTGTGATCAGTGAGTCTCTGAAGGTGACAACAGAGATGATCGGGTGTAAGAGTGGTTTGACTCTGACCTGGCCCATCAAAAGCGTTGCCGGCTCCATCGTTGTGGTCCCCTTCATAGAAAGCCAGGCGTATGTCTGCGGGGCCTTCAGCGGCCTCCTGGAACACCAAGTCCGACACGTTGCTCCACAGCTGGAAGGCGGCGTGCACCGTCAGCCGCACGGAGCCCGGAGACAGGAGGCGAGGCCAGTTTACGATCTGGTAGGTCAGACGGCGCTGATGCCACTTCTCTGCTGCGGAGCGGAGACAGGAAGCTCTCAGGTGAACTCAGCTCAGACTGCTGATGTCAGAGGGGACACCTTTAATCTTTTATTAACAAATATTATAAACAAGTTGATACACAAATAAGCAAATCCAGAACTGTGACACAATAAATCATGTATTTCCTGCTGTGGACAAACTAAAGCAGAATGAATTAATGACTCGAGACTCTCAGCTACTACCACACCTACGTTTATCTTAATGTCTGTGAAAGTGACAGAGCCATGTTTGTGTTTGCTAGCTGTGGCAGTCATCTTAAACCAAGCTGACTCCTAAATGTATCAGCTGGAGATGAACATCAAATACTTCATTATTAAATTTTCATTAAAACAACATTAAATGAGAGATTGTACCACTGATGCATGTTAGAGTCACTTGATAATGTCAGCCTTGTTTTGATGCTACATGGATGGCTGGCAGATGTTCTTTGGTTTACAGTTTAAGAAATGTTTGGAAGAAATCTGTGCAGTAAGTAATATTTTCATACAATGAAGCTGCTCAAACTACAGCAGCCTAACACTTTTACAGCATAAAACAACAAAACACAAAACTAAAATATTAAATAACTAGAGAAATTGCATTTCCTGTGAAAATGCAGCGTGAATGCATATTGCTGAAGAACTTGCTGAAAAACAGCTGAAATGAGCTAAAAAGGTAGTTGAAACTATAGAACAAGCATACATTAGCAGAAGAAGCAGAAATAACATGTTTGCCCAGTTAGG